CGGGCTCAGGCAATCACTCACCTCAGCCTCCCAAAGGCGCGGGATTACAAGCTGAGCCACCGAGCCCGGCTTCTGTGAATCATTTAAATAAAAAGGATTCAAAGTAATAGTTTTAAGACTAGCGAGGTACTGAAATGGGAGGTAACAGCTCAGTAAGATAAAGCAGCAATGGCGTAAGCAAATCTCTCCATTTTTGGGAAGAAATGTTACTTTGCTGTTTTATTCAACATGTTTCTACTCAGCAGTGGTAGCAACACCATTGTAACTTATTTGTTCTCTACTAATTCAGAATTTGTATAATTCTTGTAATTTGTGAGCCTAAGTTTTGCTGGTGAAAACAATGTAAAACAAATTTTAGAAAGCATGTGTGTGCTACTCAAATGAAACCAAACTTTTAAGGACATTGTTTGCAAATAATTTTTGTTTTTACAGCAGACTTTAAAAATGTTTACTTAGCAATTTTTACCTATGTACTTGAAAGCTATATATATATATATATATATATTTTTTTTTTTTTTTTTTTTTTTTTTTTAAAGCAGGATTTATTGAGAGGACAGAAAAGTTCCCACAGTGGGAGGGGAGCTGAAGGAGTTGCCCAGCTTTATGTATTTTTTAAACTACCTTTTTAAAGTTGTATAAGCCAGGCTTGGTGGCTCAGCCTGTAATCCCGTGCCTTTGGGAGGCTGATGTGAGTGGATTACCTGAGCCCGCAGGTTCGAGACCCACCTGGGCAACTTGGCAAGACCTCATCTCTACAGTAAATCAAAAATTAGCCAGGCGTGGTAGCACGCACCTGTAGTTCCAGCTACTTGGAAGGCTGAGGCGGAAGGATGACCGGAGCCCAGCAGGCGAGGCTACGGTGGCCGGGAGTGGCCACTGCACTCTGGTCTGGGCAACAGAGTGAGACTCCAACTCAAAAAAAAAGTTGTATAATTTATTTTCCAATATAGGCTATATAATTCCTGTAATCTAAGTATACATTATCTTATTAATCTCTTAACAGCATTTACTGAGTATCTACTATGTGCCATTCTAGGAATACTTAGTTGAATAGAGATGCTCCTTCATTAGAAGTAGGTAGGGACCAGAAACAGACATCAAGATGACTATAACTTAAATATATGAATTAAAACATGTCTTAATTCTATACTAAAATTATAATCTGACAAATGATAATGGTGGTATTCAGTGACTTCTGGAGAGGGATGGAGAAGGAGCAACACCTGGCCGCCCAAGGAGGCCGGTGGGGCTTTGAGCAGAGCCTTGGGGAAGGGGGGAAGATTGGACAGGTGTGGTGAGTTTCTGGGGATGGTGAGAGAGGACACCCCAGCAGAAGAGATAGCCAAAGGAAAGCTGGAGTCGCCAAGGGGTCAGATCCATGCTTGGGGTTCACAAGGGGGCAGAGGCTGGAAAGGCGAGAAGAAGGGTCTTCAATGCCAAGCCAAGGAATTTTACCTTTCTTATGCAGGTGATAGGGAGCCATTTGGGGTTTCAAAGAAGACACTTGTGTTTTAGAAAAATACCTGTGGTGACCGGGTGGAGGATGGTTTGGAGAAGGAAGACTGGAGGCAGGAAGATGAATTGGGAAGCTTTTGCAGAACTGAAGGTGAAAAAGGAGCTATCCTTAGCTCAGCCTTGGCAGTGAGAACAAGAAGGGAATAGCATATTCTGTGATAGAATCTCTCTCTGATTTGTATGAACTTTTTTTTTTTTATAAAGATGTGGGGTACAATTCAGGGTTAGGTATACAAACATGGATTGTGTGGGTACCCTTGTTGATAGGGTATGCCCCTCCCTCCCTAGCAGTTTCCCTCAACTGCCAATCCCACCCCGCCTCCCCTGACAGCTTCCCACTACTGCCAATCCCTTTCTTATAGCATTATAATTGTTCAGGGTCCACTAATGAGTGAGAACATATGGTAGCATGTTCTTTGTTTCTGTGACAGATCACTGACTATGATTGACTCTAAATCCATCCAAGTTGCTGCGGAGTCCATATGTTTGTCTTTCTTTATGGCTGCATAATATTCCATTATGTATATGTACCACTTTTTTTTTTTTTATTCAGTTCAGCTTCGATGGACAACATGGTTGGTTCCATGTTTTTGCTATTGTGAATAGAGCTGCAACAAATGTACATGTACAGGTTGTATGAACTCTTTATATATTAAGACTATAGGCTGAATACAGTGGCTCCTGCCTATAATCCTAGCACTTTGGGAGGCTGAGGCAGGAGGATCACTTGAGGCCAGGAGTTCAAGACCAGCCTGGGCAACGTAGCAAGACCCAGTCTCTACTAAAAATAAAATTCTCCAGGCATGGTGGCACACGCCTATAGTCCCAGGTGCAGAGGTAGGAGGATTGCTTGAGCCTAGGAGTTCAAGGCTGCAGTGAACTATGATTATGGTCCTATTCTCCAGCCTGGACAACAGAGCAAGACCCTGTCTCAAAAAAAAGAATATAAAGTGTTTCTTCAAATTTGAGGTACATTTTTTCCCAGTTTATTTTTTTTTTAATTGTGTATATGATGCTTTTGTGAAGAGAAGTCTTACATAGTAAAACTCTATCAATATTTTTCTTTTTGATTTATTCTCATTACTTTGATCTAATGATTTCAGTGAAATATTTTCTTATATTCTCTCCTACTTTTCTCTGTGTTCCTTTCTTTTTTTTTTTTTTGAGTTGGAATCTCACTCTGTCACCCAGACTGGAGTGCAGTGAGCCACCGAGCCCGGCTGTGTGCTCCTTTTTAATATTTACTTCTAATCTGCCTGGCATGGCCAAAGGACCTAAACTGCATACTACATTTTTATAGAGACTCTTTGGCAAATATTCCAACAATACTTAAGACAATAAGTAAGTTAATAAGTAATAACACTTAATAAGAAACTGAATATTACCTATGTAATAATATTATTAAAATGTTCTCCTAGCTGGACTCAGTGACTCAGCCTGTAATCCCGCACCTTTGGGAGGCTGAGGTGAGTGGATTGCCTGAGCCCACGGGTTCGAGACCCGCCTGGGCAACTTGGCGAGACCTCATCTCTACAATAAATCAAAAAATGAGCCGGGCATGGTAGCGCACTCCTGTAGTTCCAATTACTTGGAAGGCTGAGGCAGAAGGATTGCCAGAGCCCAGCAGGTCGAGGCTGCGGTGGCCGGGAGCGGCCACTGCACTCCAGTCTGGGTGACAGAGTGAGACTCCAACTCAAAAAAAAAAAAAAAAAATGTTCTCTTACCTCAGAGTCAAGGTTGACAGGTGTGAAATAAATTACATAAAAGACTCAGCTTTGACAATTTTTAAAATTTGTTTTAAGGTTTTCTGGGTAAGCTTAAAGTTGTTTGATATATATAAATATTGTATTTAAGCAGCTACACATCTTAGATGGTTTCTGGACTTCCTTTCTCACAGGAATAAAACAAGTTTAGCTGTCATCTACTTTTCCTGAATGAGACTTTTTTCTGTGGCTTTTGTGTACAATTCCACATTCCTTCCCCTTTTCCACATCACATTCCTTGAATTTGTGTAAGGTTCATAATTTCCCTTTTAGTGGATTTGTTTTCCTTTATTTTACTCCTACATATCTTCCTCTTTTTATAATTCTATTTTTATATAAATATTCTGAACAGTTATTTAATTTGGAGAGTGATGAAGTCTTTAAAAAATTTCTTGACTGGGCTTGGCTCAGCTTGTAATCCCAGCACTTTGGGAGGCCCAGGTGAGTGGATTGCCTGAGCCCGTGGGTTCGAG